CCCCCCCGAGGCACTTCCGGTTACTCGTGTTCGCACGGCCCGGGTGAGCAGCATCGGTCCGTCCCGGTGCCCGGGGCTGCCTGAGCGGGGAAGGGCGGCGGGCCGGAGACCGCGCCCCGGGCCGGGCCGGACCATGTCGGACACGTGGAGCTCGATCCAGGCCCACAAGAAGCAGCTGGACTCGCTGCGGGAGCGGCTCCAGCGGCGGCGGAAACAGGACCTGCTGGGTGAGGGGTTGGGGGCAGTGGGGGGTCAAAGGGCAGAGCGGGACCATGGAGTTCAGGGGTCGGAGGGGCACGGGGTCAGGGACCAATCATAGGGCATTGGTAATGCAAGGAGGTCAGGGGGCAAACAAAGGGTCAAAGGGAAGAGGGTCAGGGGGCAAAGGGCACGAGGGGGCAGCGGTGACACCAGCAGGATTCCCTGGGGGAGTAGGGGTCAGGGGGTGTCACAGGGTCAAAGGGCAAGTGGCATGAGTGGGGGACTGGGGCCTAGAGGATACCAAAGGGTTGGGGTAACTAGGGGAGGTGAAAGGGCACAATGGACATAGGGGTCGGTGGGGATTGGGTTTTGGCTGGGGTAGTGGGGAGGGGTGCAGGCTACATTCCTTGGTTGTGAGATCCAGGGGCACTGTGGGGGTCAAAGGTCAGCAAGGCCATGGCTGGATCAGATGGGCAGACGCAGGGGTACTGGGGGGCACTGGGGCGGGGGGGGGGGATTAGGAACCATGAGGCAGGGCCAGAGGGTGGCTGCAGCAGTGACAGAAGCAGGACCCCTGTGTTGGGGTCAGAAGTTAAAGGGCATTGTGGGCACAGGGCTCAGGTGCTCCCCAAAGGGCACTAGGGCATCAAGGTGCTGGGGATACAGGGGGTCAGGAATCAGGAGGCATTGGGGGCCAGGGTAGCAGGAGAAGCTATGGGGTCGGGGCACAAGGGGATCGACAGCAATGCAGCAGAGACCCCCAGCTGGACCCACTGGCACAGGGGTGAGGGGCAGTGGGGAAGGGGACAGGACTGATTGGCTGGAGCTGGGGGGAGCAGTTGGGATGGGGAGGAGTTGGTGTAGTGGGCGGGTGCTGGGGAGGTTGGCAGGGGGGTGTCACCTCTCAATCCTCAGATGTCACCAGCCTCATCTCTCTCCCCAGACCTCAGGAACCCAGAGCTGGCGTCACCTTTCCGCAGCGACAGCCCAGTGCCCGCAGTCCCCACACCCAGCAGCGCAGCTAGAGAGCTGGCCACTGACCCTGAGCTGGAGAAGAAGCTGCTGCATCACCTCTCGGACCTCGGGCTGGCACTGCCCACCGATGCCCTCTCCATCTGCCTGGCCATCTCCACGGTGAGAGCCCGGTCCCTCCCCCTTGCTGCCAGTGCCCTGGGGCCCAGCCCCATTCCCCTCCACCACCTGTCCATGTGAAAACACACCCGCCTTCTCCCAGCAACGCCTGCTCTGTCTACTATTTGCTGTTCCTTCGTTCCCTGGGTTGGCTGATCCTCTGACACGTCCCCCATCCTCTCTCCAGTTTGACCATCTCTCCCCCCAGGAGACCCTGTCTCTCCCCCTGCCAGGCACTGGTGTGACCCCATTTCTCTTCACACTTGCCCCACCCTGTGATCCTCTGTCCCACAGCCAGAGGCCCCCGTCACCCAGCGCAGTGTGGAGAGCCTGCTGCAGAAGTTCGCGGCTCAGGAGCTGATCGAGGTGCGCCGGGGGCTGCTGCAGGATGACGAGGAGCAGCCCACCCTGGTCACCTATGCTGACCACTCCAAACTCTCTGCGATGATGGGCGCCGTGGCTGAGAGGAAGGGCCCCGCTGAGCCAGGCAGCACTGGGGGCCAGAAGCGCTGGGCAGAGCAGGATGCTGGGGGTGCTGTTCCTTCCCCAGCCGGTGCCACCCCCTCTGCCTTGACCACCTCGGAGCTGGCCAAGGAGCCGGCCAAGAAGTCTCGGAAGCAGGCGTCGGACCTGGACCTGGAGATCGAGAGCTTGCTGAGCCAGCAGTCCACCAAGGAGCAGCAGAGCAAGAAGGTACTAGCTGGACACCTGGATCCTAGCCTCAACACAGGCCCCAGCCGTGGTTCTGGGAGGGGAGGGGAGTCTAGTGGGTTAGGATCGGGGCTGGAAGCCAGGACTCCTGGGTTCTGTCCCTGGCTCTGGGAGGGGAGTGGAGTCTAGTGGGCTAGGATCAGGGGCTGGGAGCCAGGACTCCTGGGTTCTGTCCCTGGCTCTGGGAGGGGAGTGGAGTCTAGTAGGTTGGAGCAGACATGATCTCAACCCTGGCCTTGGGTGGGATCCTGAGACCTTTTTCTTTGGACCAATACAGTCTGTCTTCTTTTCACACCTCATTAACATTTAGTAACATTCATTGGTACAGGCTATTGTGAGCATATATGAACCCTTACCCACTTTCCACCCCTTGAGGAAGATCTCCTAGACCCCAGTTATTCCCACAGGGAGGAGCGGGTGGGGGTAAGGCTGGGAGTCAGGACTCCTGGATTGTGGGAGGGGAATGGGCAGAAGGGAACCCCAGATTCCTGGGTCCTTCTCACAGCTCTCCCCACACCCCAGGTGAGTCAGGAGATCCTGGAGCTACTGAACACAACCACGGCCAAGGAGCAGTCAATCGTGGAGAAGTTTCGCTCGCGGGGCCGTGCCCAGGTACAGGAATTCTGCGACTATGGCACCAAGGAGGAGTGTATGAAAGCCACAGACGCTGAGCGGCCCTGCCGCAAACTGCACTTCAGGTGAGAGCCTGCCCTGGGACTGGGAATCAGGACACCTAGGTTCCCTCACCAGCTCTGGGAGGGGAGTGGAGTATGGTGGGTTAGAGCAGGGGCGGGGCTAGGAGCCAGGACTCCTGGGTTCTCTTCCCAGCTCTGGGAGGGGAGTGGTCTAGTGGGGGGGAACAGCAAGTCAGACACTTGGGTTCCATGTCTGTCGTTTACCACTGTCCCTACCCCAGACGCATCATTAACAAGCACACAGATGAGTCTTTGGGCGACTGCTCCTTCCTCAACACCTGCTTCCACATGGACACCTGCAAATATGTCCACTACGAGATTGATGCCTGTGCCGACCTGGACGCCCCCGGGGGGCGTGACCACAACACTGGCCAGGAGCTGGCACTGCCCCAGGCAGTGGGTGGGGACCCCAGCATCGACCGCCTCTTCCCCCCCCAGGTACTGGTGGGGGTGGGAGTGTCTGGGCAAATCGATTCGGGGAGGGGGGGTTAGGCAGGAAGTGGTATGGAACACAGGGCTGGCAGCAGTGTTACAGGGGTGGGGCTGTCAGGTCTCTGGGGAAGGGTTTGGGGTGGGGGCGATGGGCAGCGTTATGGGGGTGGAGCTGTCAGGTCTCTAGGGAAGGGTTTGGGGTGGGGGCGATGGGGTTCTGGGCACCAATACGGGGGTGGGGCTGTCAGGTCTCTGGAGAGGGGCATAGTGGCTGGTGAGCTGTGGGATGAGGGAGTTCTGGGGGTCCCAGTGGGGGGCGGCTTCCTGCTGCCCCATCAGTGGCTAAAGGCCATTCTCTTTGGGGACAGGGGTGGGTAGTTTTGGTTTCTCTCTGATTTCCCCCCCCACCCCCACAGTGGATCTGCTGCGACATCCGCTACCTGGACGTCAGCATCCTGGGCAAGTTCGCGGTGGTCATGGCCGACCCGCCCTGGGACATCCACATGGAGCTGCCCTATGGCACCCTGACCGACGACGAGATGCGACGCCTCAACATCCCTGTGCTGCAGGACGAAGGGTTCCTCTTCCTCTGGGTCACCGGCCGGTATGGGGGGGGGAGGGGAAACTGAGCCTGTGGGTCACTGCCTGGTATGGGGGGGGGCGCGGCACACAGCAGAGGCTCTGGGTCACCAGACAACAGGTGAGGAGGCGGGTGAGCATGCAAGGCGGCCTGGGGTGGGCCGGGCTGCAGGTCACTGTGTGGCTATGGGGCAGGTGAGTCTATGTGGGGGGCTAGGCTAGGTTGACAAGGTGTCTAGGCCAGTTCAACATCTCACCCTCGCCTGCTCTCCCCGCAGGGCCATGGAGCTGGGACGCGAGTGCCTCAACCTCTGGGGGTGAGTGTCTGGTCGGTCCCCCTTCCCCCCCACTGCCCCCTCTGGCCCAGCCGCTAACCCCCTCCCCATTTCCCCCAGGTACGAGCGCGTGGATGAGATCATCTGGGTGAAAACCAACCAGCTCCAGCGAATCATCCGCACGGGGCGGACGGGGCACTGGCTGAACCATGGCAAGGAGCACTGTCTGGTACGGGGGAGCACTGCCTGGGACCAGGTAATATAGGGGGTCCCCAGCTCCTGGCTCAGCCTCTCTCTCTCTTTCCTGTACAGGTGGGGGTCAAGGGGAACCCCCAGGGCTTCAACCGGGGCCTGGACTGCGATGTCATCGTAGCTGAGGTAAGTTCAGCCCCTCCCCACGCTCCGGCCCCCCTGCTGGGAGCGGCCAGGGCTCCTTCTCTGCTCCCCACAGCTCCCCCATGGCCACCCCCTCTTGCAGGTCCGCTCCACCAGCCACAAGCCGGACGAGATCTACGGCATGATCGAGCGCCTCTCTCCTGGCACCCGCAAGATAGAGCTCTTCGGCCGCCCGCATAACGTGCAGCCCAACTGGTGAGCCGCCCCCCCCCCCCCCGCTCCTCCCAGGACACCGGGACCCCCCGCCCGCTAACCCTGCCCTCCTCTCTGCCAGGATCACACTGGGCAACCAGCTGGACGGCATCCACCTGCTCGACCCGGACGTGGTGGCCCAGTTCAAGCAGCGCTACCCAGACGGGATCATCTCCAAGCCCAAGAACATGTAGGGGGCGGGGTTATTTCCTAATAAAACGAGAAAACAAGTGCTGGGCCTCGCTCTGGGGGGTGGGGGCGCTGAGGGCAGCTGCTGGCGCTGGGCACAGGCAGCTCCCAACTCCCAGCTGAAGGGAACTCTCAGGCCAGGCAGCGGGGGCGATGCTGGGGGCCATGTCCCCTGGCCCCAATAAGCAGCTCACAAAGCTCCAGCCCCTCCCACTTTAATCAGCTCCAGAGGCCTGGCCTGTCAGAAGAGCAAAGTCTGTGCCTGCACCACCTCCCCCCCACCCCAGGGGGCATGGTCCCCCTTGGTCCCCAGCCGTGTCTGCGCCGGGCGCTGCCCGCAGTCAAAACGGGCACCGCTCACTTCACAAAGACCACACTGCTGCTGGAGTTGCGGGAAGCCAGCCAGGCTAGGAACACGTCCCTGCGAAGGGAGACAGAGCGAGCGTCAGCGGAAGGGAGGGAGGGAGGAAGGGGGGTTGGGGAGGCGCAGCCCCCACCCCCCCCTCACCTGCAGTGTTTGACGACACACTCGCTGCTGCAGTACTCGTTGTCCCAGTCACTGCTGCTGACGGGCAGGTTGTCGCAGCCGGAGCGCACACAGCGGGGCCGGGGCGACAGCCCCACGGGTGACTCCGACACCAGCTCCACGTCCATCTGCGTCGGGGACTCCACCTGGGGGGGGAGGGGAAGGGCGGGGTCACTGGCTGCGGGGCGAGGCCTTGGGGCATCTCCCCGAATCACGCCCGCCGCGCCACTCCTGCCCCCCCAACCTCGCCCATCCCCACACAGCACCCCTCCCCCACCCCACGCGCCCAGCCCACCCCCCACCAGGCCACTCCCACCTCTGACCTCTCCCCCTTACAGCACCCATCCATGCCCCTGTGCCCAGCCCATCCCCACACAGCACCCGTCCACGCCCCCGTGCCCAGCCCGTCCCCACACAGCACCCCCCGCACACAGCCCATCCCCCCACGCCACCCCCACAGCACCCCATCCACACCCCTGCACCCAGCTCATCCCTCCCCTCAACCCTACACCCAGCCTGTCCCCCCACAGCACACCCTGGGCCCAGCCTGTCCCCACCCAGCACCCCTCCACACCCAGCTCATTCCCCACACAGCACCCTGTCCACACACCCTGCGCCCAGCCCATCACCCCCTGCACCCAGCCCATCCCTCCCCTCAACCCTGCACCCAGCCTCTCCCCACACAACACCCCATCTACACCCCCACACCCAGCCCCTCCCCACACAGCAACCGTCCACACCCCTGCGCCCAGCCCACGCCCCACTGGGCCACTCCCACTTCACCCCACTACCACCTCATGCCCCCGACCTCTCCCCCTTCCAGCAACCATCCACGCCCCTGCACCCAGCCCATCCCCAGACAGCACCCCCTCCGCCCAGCCACTCCCACCTCAGCCCGCTATGACCTCACGCCCCCGACCTCTCCCCCTTACAGTTCCCATCTATGCCCCTGCACCCAGCCCATCCCCACACAGCACCCCCTGCGCCCAAGCCGTCCCCCCACAGCACCCGTCCACGCCCCTGCGCCCATCCCCCCCCCACAACCCCCGCCGGGCCACTCCCGCCTCAACTCGCTACGACCTCACGCCCCTGACCTCTCCTCCTTCCAAAACCCAGCCACGCCCCTGCGCCCAGCCCACCCCCACACAGCACCCCCTGCACCCAGCCACTCCCACCTCAGCCTGCTACCTCATGCCCCCCACCTTTCCCCCTTCCAGCACCCATTGGCGCCCCCCCCTCACGGGCCACTCCCACCCCCAACTTCTCCCCCTTACAGCACCCGTCCACGCCCCCGTGCCCAGCCCGTCCCCACACAGCAATCCCTGCAGCCAGTCCATCCGCCCACAGCACCCGTCCACACCCCCGCAACCAGCCCTTCCCCTCATGCCACCCCCACACCCAGCCCCCCACAGCACCCCATCTACACCCCTGCACCCAGCTCATCCCTCCCCTCAACCCTGCACCCAGCCTGTCCCCCCACAGCACACCCTGGGCCCAGCCTGTCCCCACCCAGCACCCCTCCACACCCCCTGCACCCAGCCCATTCCCCACACAGCACCCCGTCCACACACCCCATGCCCAGCCCCTCCCTCCCCTCAACCCTGCACCCAGCCCCTCCCCACACAGCAACCCCCACACCCAGCCCATCATCCCCTACACCCAGCCTATCCCCCCCCACGCCACTCCTCCACATCCCCCCTACACCCAGCCTGCCCCCCATCCT